GAAGGGGGAAGTGAGAGGAAGAGTAGGAAGGGAACTGTGATTGGTATGTAAAATGAATAAAAAATTTAAAAACTTATTTTTTCGTAATTAAAGCATTATATTTCAGTAGGATAATAAAGTTTTGTATGTACAAGAAAAACCCTGCAAATCATAGCACACAGTAGTCTCAGATCAGACCGAAGGTGTTTCCGCAGCATCCCTTGGTGTTGCACTGTATAACAGCACGCACAGTGCCAAGTGTGCTGCATGTTCAGAACCATGGGTAAGCACCCACAAACACCCCCAGATCCACTATAAATTTATTTTGAACTGATTATTGGTCATTGCGTGTTCAGACACCATTGGCCAAGCTTTTTGGAATCCCCATTCATTTAAGCTACCCATTATGGGTAGAAGTCCAGGCAGCAACTCCTAAATAAATACACAACATTACTTACAAATGCTTGGCCAATAGCTCTTACATTTTAAGTTAACCCGTATCCCTTATATATGCTATGCCACGTGGCGGTAACTTTTCTCAGTACAAGGTGCCCATCTGGCTGGCGACTCCTCTGACTCCACCATTCCCCTTACCATCATGCCGAGTCTGGTCGCCCCACCTGTACTTCCTGCCTGACTACAGGACAAATCTTTATAGTGTACAAGAGGGTTATGCCACAGAAGCTCATAGTTCAATAAAGTCTATAAATCTAGTCTCTGTGACATAGTAACTGCCACGGGACTGTAATCTGACTTTGTGTCTGGTCTAAGACATGAGTGACAACCCACTTAATTCTTTAGAAGAAGACTTGTTCTTCCCTCCTATGGCTGATACCATCTAGATGGCTAGTTTTTAATTAAACTCTTTTGTCACGAAAGGCTCACAAGTTTCAGAGTCCAACAGACCTATAAATCTGCAGTTGAGTCCAGGTTGTGTGACTTCGGGAGATCACATGGCTTTTCTGAACCCCAATTCCTTCATGGGCTAAATAAAAGTACCATTCCCTGCCTTAGGCAAAACTCATAATTAAGAGAATCAGTGTTTAGAAGGGATTTACCACAGTACAATGCAATAGGATCTCCTGCAGCGACAGTAATGTTGATATCTGCAGTGTCCGATATTGTAGCCTCTAGAATATATGTATGAAAGTAAATATATTATCTGTCTGCACTGTCTGAGTTGGGCTTAAAATGATGGTCTCTAGTTTCACTCTTCCCCCTGAAAACGACATTTCATCTTCCTTGAAGGTTAAATATTGCTCTGCTTTGAACACACATCACGTTCTTTTTACCCATCCATCTACTGATGGATACCTGGGCTGATTCCATAACTTGACTATTGTGAGCGGTTAAGCTGTCCTCTCTGAAGGGACTATGGGGTTCTCAGGCCCCAGGCCGGAAACTCTGTTTGTAAGATCTGTGTGAAAGTCAGGACATAAGACTTTAGCGAGCTTTACCTGCACAGTGGTCTGAGGTCATGGGTTTACCGAAAGTCCTGTTGAGCAAACTCAGTATTGCCTTTCTTTACTCTTCTGCTCCCTTCCTATCTACTTTTTTTTTAATCTCTTGCCTGCCTCTCTGCCTCTTTCTCTTTTCTCTCTTCTGTCTCCTTTATTCTCTCTCTGTTTTCCCTCTCTCTTCCCTTCGCCCTGCCCCCCTTTACCAGTCTCCCCTCTCCTTTTCTTCGTTTCTCCCTCCTCCTCCTCACACTTCTCTTTTTTGTTCTTCTGAGGCTAAGTTTCACTGCCTTTGACAGGGCGATCCTCCAGTCTCCACCTCCCCCTGTGCCAAGATATCTTATTTTCTTTTGACAGCAGTTAGAGGTTTTGTGACCAGCTCTGATAATGCCCACAAAGGACAGGGGACAAAACACAGGGTACTTCAACAGATGAGGACACGGGTGACATCGCTATCAGTGCAGGATGACAACCCCTCCTCCTCCTGGCTGGTGCTGCCCACTCCAGATAAAATAGCCAAAGGGGCCATTTCCTTTTTGACAGACAAAGCTAGTGGAGAGGTGGAAAGAAGTTCACTGGGTGTCACCTCGGTGCCACCGAGGAAAGCAACAGACAGGCTGGGGTTTTGGCGACTGGCTCCTTCCAGTGAGGAACAGACAGACTACAGACAAACTCAAGAGCAGTTCTATTTAGGACTAGAAGCTGCAGGCAGCCCCAGCCCTGTCTGATTCAAAAGGATAGGGGCAGATAGAAGGTCCAGGCTAAGCCGATGCTCACAAGGACCTCCCCAAATGGAGAAGGTTCCCAAAACTCTCTCTACTCCGCACCCAGACAGAAGGGGTGAATTCCCAGGAGACCAGGAGAATTTAATCCAACTCATGCCCAGAATGAGGAAAAGAATGATGGAGACTAATCGAATCCTCAGAGAGGCTCCTGGCAACCTCTCAGCAGCAAATGCCGCCTGCGTGCCCCAAAAGACAGCACTCTGGGGGCTCAGAGTTCAAGGCAAACTCTTGAAGCCCAGGAACAAACATCCCCTTAAAAAAAAAAAAGTAGTGTGGGCTCAGCTCACTGAAGACTGAACCATTTTCTTCTTGGGGTAAAAAGTCTCCAGGATGGTCTCAAAGCCCTCCTAGGCCTGAAGTGTTTCAGGGAAGACTGGAAGGCCACGGGCAGCTGTGAGTCAAGCAGGCCTCCACGCCGCCACTCACAGCTTGTAAGTCACTCACCGATGTCTAGAATGCAGCTTCCCACAGAGCTTCTGTCTCAGGGCTATCGCCGCCGCTATGAAGACTAAAGCCACGATGCAAGACGGGATGAAAACACTCAGTGCTGACGTGCTGGGGACCTCGGGCTCAGTCCAACCTGGGTGAAGGAGAGAATCAAAATCCCATCACAGGGCCGCTCCCAGACAGACTGGGGTGGCTGTCAGAGTGGTCCCCACCACACGGACACAGGGTTAAGCCTTCAGTCTACATTTCTCACGTAGAAGCTCATTTCCTTCCACAACCACCCAGCGAAGAAGTCTCTACTTGGATCTCCATTTTCACTGGTGAAAATGAATGAGGCTGAGAAATTTCCCCAAAGTTAGACAGTGAGGGGTTTAGCTGAGACACACTCCAGACTGTCTGGGCCAGATCCTGTGCCCTTTGCCACCTTGTCATTCCATCCCCCAACCATCTGCCCACTCACCCATCACCCCCCCCCCCCGTCTCT